ATTAAAAACAATACAATTTTGTATAATTAGAAAAATATCAATTTCCCTGCTTACCATTGATGCTCTATTTAAGGATTATATTAATGACCATTACATTACAACTAGACTTTGAGGAACTCATAGAATATATTGGCATCATATGCCAAGTGAGTTACATGCTTTATCTTAATTAAGTCTCACAAGAACATGAACAGGTAGATACTATCATCTTCATTCTATAGAGGATGAAAGTGAAGTTCACAAAGGTTAACTTCCTTTTCAAAGATGACCCATCTCTTAGGTGTTAGAACTTGGTATTGAACAAGTATTAAATTCAGGTCCTTTTGATTCAAGACCAACTGCCTAAACCATTTTTCTCTCAGCCTAGCCAATTTTTTGGCTAGGCAAGTAACTTAATCATATGCTCCTCTAAAACCTTTGTGTTCCCTGATGTCTTTATTATAGGTTAAGGACTATAGGGATGCTGCTGTAGAAGGAGATGCCCATAGAAATGGGGAATGGAACAACTGTCCAAGAATTCATCTTGGAGGGGTTTCCTGCCATCCAGCACCTGGGAAAGGTCCTCTTCCTGGTGCACCTGCTGGCTTACCTGGCATCCATTGCAGGCAATGCCGTCATAGTCACCATCACCTGTGCTGACTCCCGGCTCCACACACCTATGTACTTTTTCCTCAGCACTTTCTCCTTCTTTGAGTGTTGCTTTACAAGTGCTGTTATTCCTAAGTTGCTGGTCATCCTTCTTTTAGGCAAGCAAACCATTTCCTTTCCTGCCTGTTTCATACAAGCTTTTTTCATTGTATTTCTGGGAGCAGCAGGTTTCCTCCTCATAGCAGTGATGTCTCTGGATCGGTATGTGGCCATTTGCAAGCCTCTGCATTACCCAACCATCATGAACCTGAAGACTTGCTTCCTCCTGGTCACTGCCTGCTTCACATTGCCCTTCTCTCTCATCACTGGTCCACTAGTAAAGATTTCTCAGTTATCCTTCTGTGGTCCCCATGTCATCCCCCACTTCTTCTGTGACCTTGGCCCCCTGATTCATCTCTCCTGTTCTGACACCAGGTCTGTTGAAATGTTGGTCTTCATCCTTGCCTTGTTTATCCTTTTGACATCCCTTATCATAACCAGCATTGCCTACAGCAACATAGTAGTCACAATCAAGCGACTCCCATCAGCCAAGGAGCAACAGAAAGCTTTCTCCACCTGCTCTTCTCACCTCATAGTCCTCTCTCTGAT